CAAACTTCCTCACAAGCAGGCGTTCGTCCGTGCTTTCCAGGTCCTCGGCCAGTTCCCGGAGCCTGCAGTAGTACGCCAGTAGGGATTCTTCCTTCTTACGGCGGAAGTCCCGGAACTCTTCAACGCACGCCTTGGTCTGCCCCGCGAACTCCTTCCGTAACAGCTGCAGGAAGCGGGCCGTAGGATTGGCTATCTCGCCCTCCGCCAGCTCGTCCAACACGTCGTCGCGTGTCAGGCGGTAGAAGGTCTCGGCCTCGCCTGCCAAGGTCCCCACCATCTTCCGGAAGAACTCCGCCGGATCATATCCGTCACGCTCCCAGCAGTATTGGACGGTCTCGAGCTGCATCAGACAATTCTTCAGGCTGGGCCCCACGCCAGGAATACCGGTATACCGCTCAGCCACCTCCACCTTAGGCAAGTTAGTCGCCTTCCATCGAACTCCGCCAGTGCTGGGTCCTTCCTGTGAATCGCCTGGAGCGCCCGCGATGCCGCTATGTATCAAGGCTCTCCTTTGCCTGGGCTCTTGTACGAGGCTTTCCGTCGGCCTCCAGCGTGTCTCAATCCGTTCCTTCCTCGGAGGCATCCCCGGCATTCCGGTTTGCGGGGTCGCTGCTTCTTGGTTCTTCCAGCGTTCACGTATTTTCTCTGTCCAGCGAGCATCGAGGAGTATCTCCCGGGTCCGAGACGACAGTTCGCGCTCGTTCCATGCTATCTCCCACCACACGCGCTTGTTGGTGTGGAGTCCGGTACTTAGGTGAATCCGTTTCGCCACGTGCCGCTCTCACGTCTCCCCGCGCGGCTATCTCTTCTGCACGCCTCCCCTCCGTAGGCTTCAACTCCTCAGTATCGTTCCACAGTCTCGTTCTTAAGAACTCTCGACGATGCATCGAGATCCTTGCGTGATTGTGAAGAAGTCCTGCAACACAGCCTGTATCTAACCATGGAAACCCTAGCTCGGCTGACTGGAAAACAGAATGTTGGGGTCTGTATTGCTTGCCGCTTTGGTTTCACGTGCTCAGTTCGTTGGGGGTAGACGGAATAGTAAGCATGAGTATGAAAACAATCACGCAAGCAACCTTTCCCCTGCCTGCCTATTTCTTAAGTATCTGCGTTGGGTTACCGTTGTGCTAACGGATCCCTTCTCGCCCGCCAACTCTCTAATGTTTCGGTTGTGTCGCTTCAACCACCCCGCTTTGCTAGTCATCCTCCCTACTGTACTGTTCTACATTTCCTATTAGTCACGATGATATATCTACTGCTCTATGCACAGATTAGAATCGTGACAGCCCTCAGCGTCAAAAGTGAGAACGGTAGGACTGGCCGTAGTGGCAGTAGCAGCAGTAGCAGTAGTAGCAGTAGCAGGAACAGGAGCAGCAGGTGCTGCAGGTGGTGCACAGTAGGGCGGCGCGGCTCGGTCAGGGCGGCGCGGCTCGGGTAGGACGGCGCGGCGCGGCTCGAGTAGGGAGGGTGGGCCGGCGCGCGGTCTGTGGCTGTGCGTGGCGGCGGCCTACGTGCGGGCGGCAGCCGTCGTGAGGGCGGCGGCCTACGTGCGGGCGGCGGCCTACGTACGATCGGCGGCCTACGAGCGCGAGGCGGCGGCGCGCGCCGGTCGACGGGCAGCTCGCGGGCTGTGCTAGGGGCCGCGCGAGGCCAGGGCAGGCTGCGCGCGGGCGGCGTCAACTGCGCAGGGGGCTAGTGGGTCGCGCGCACGAGGAAAAAGGGCCGCCCGCGGGCGGCTAGCGGGCTACGCGCTAGAAAAAACGGGCCGCGCGCGGGTGGCTAGCGTGAGAGAGAGGGCGCGCGAGGGCGCACTAGGAACGAGGCGCACGAGGGCGCGAGTAAGGGAGGGCGCACGAGGGCGCTTCTAGCGGAATGGTGAGCCCTTAGGAACTAGCGGTCCTAGGTTCCTAACCTAGGCTCGCAATACCATTTCAGAATGAGAGAAGTGAATGAACTAGGAAAGAGTTGGGTACAAATTGTAAAACCTAAACTTACTGTACCCCATAGGAACTACCCCACTACAGCCTAAACCAACTGTAGCAGATATAACATTTGACACATGGCTAGTTAGGATTGCTATTTATATTCCTGTACTCCTATCTTATAATCATCTTGTTCCTTCAAAGTTCATCAACAAGGTCATTACAGAGACTTCATAGTTCTTTCAAAGACTTAGCAACTTTATCCTATCCACTGCGATCCTTCAGTTATAACATCAGGTGGGTGGAAAGTTGAACAGGAGAGAAGGACCCTATACCATTTTTTTTCTATCACACATGATTTCAGGGGCCGCAGGTGAGAGGGAGAGAATGTGTGCTTGTATTCTGCCACTCTTTCATGCTCTACTAACCAGAATTGCTTTCTTGTAATCAGTGTTCCTCTAGCATCCTCTTCCCCACTCCCTTCGAGATCGCCTAGAAACATCAAGATCTGTTTCAATTGCAACAAACAGCATATTTTCTCTTCCGTCCTCGTCCCCGGCCTGTTCCTTCTCGCAATTCCTCACCACCAATCCATGCTGCCTTCTGCGGCGCCAGTTTGTGGTGGAGGGGCTGCCATGGGCGCATCTGGACATTGCAGGGCCGGTGTGGAGTGAGAAGAAGGGCGGAGGCACTGGCTTCGGTGCCAGCCTGCTCTACCACTGGGTCGCCTCCCACTCCTCCTAGGAAACACATTCCTTAGCAGTCTGTTGGATGTGCTGGGACTCACGAAGCTGGAAAAACGGAGAAGCACTAGTCGGATTCCGCTCCCTTACGCCCCTCCCACCCAACCCAATGTCGATTACTCATTAGGTTTGGAAGCCGTTGTGGAGTTCAACTATGCAGGAATGTTTCTTTGGTAGGGTTGTAGTAATTTCCCCCGAGAGGGAAAAACATTATACGAAGTCTTCTCTTACAAAAAATTGAAAGTTTTAGTAGCGCTGATAGGGAAGAATAGAACAGAAGAGGATATCTTCGCTATGAAATCTACCGGAGCCCGAAACGTAACATCACCCAAACCCGAAACCCACCGTCATCCGCTGCAGCGGATCTTGCGGCAGAGGCGGGGATTTCACCTCACGCAACACGCTGTACAGCGGTGCTTGGGATCCAGCCTAGGGATTGCCCATCTGCCAGAGCGACTCTCGGAGACTTGCTTGCCCTGGAACTCCCACGTTGACTCTCCCGGAGCCTTTCTTGCCAAGCGATTCCCCCAGATACAGACTTGGCGTATAAAGAATCCCCAGAGCCGCTTTCTTACAGAGACGGTATTGCACAAGAACTCGCACAGCGACTTTCTCAGAGACTTTTCTTGACTAGGGATTGTCACGGCAGCTGAGAATTCGATGCTATTTGTGAACTCGTTTGCGGACTCTCACTGCGACCTGATTGGTCTTCGAGCATTTACATCGCGGAAAAGGCAAGTGCCAAAAAAAACTTTAAAATGGCTCGTTCGTAACTTTGCAGTTGCATTTGCCACGCAAAAAAAAAGTTTGACTCAGCAACAGTGGTAGCGTCAGTAACTGCAACCGTAACCTTTCCGTCACTTTCTGTCAACACGGTGTGCAGATTCCCGCATCCAGCACGCAAGTGTCCGGGAAACTTTACGAATGGCATACAGTAACCCCCCACGTAACTCACACAATCACGATAACGTTGCTCCGCCACCACGATCACACAAACCTCCCAACAACCAAAACATGTGGGGACGTACACGTGCCCACGTGTATGTCAGTTACACCCGTACCTGCCACGTAAGCGTACACCGCCAAGACTTGCCGAACCTACCACAGCCGCGTGATTTCGCACCACAACACCAAATCGGAACCGTTCACGTGTAGTGTGCTCCACAAGTCGCCCTACAAGTTACACTTTCGCCAGCCCGCACAGTTGCGTTGATTTGGGACTACAGTCTACATCCAGGCCGTTCATTTCTCGAGCGTTGAATGCCGCGCACCACTGCGAACCCGCCACGTGCAACCCACTCCGTTACTCGACACAGAATACCCACGCGCCTGTTGATAACCCGCATGTCCCACATGTCTTCATCACCTGTCATCGTACTACGTGTAACCCCATCTCGCAGTGACTTCGCGTGCGACGCCCATCCACTTGTATACGTACATCCTCCTCGCCCAACACTCGAGCAACAACTCAAAGGCCGCCACGTATCGCAGACACTTTAGGGAAATTGCCCCTGAAATCGCTTATGCGTGCGCCTACAAGCCACACGGCTCCTACGCGTCGCACCACCTCGTTACGACCGCTCAGGGAGGATGCCCATCACCCAAAAACCACCGTCGTGCACGTGTCGCCCTGTCGCCCTATCGCACCGCTTGTAACATCGTCGCCTGCACCACACTTCCTGCTTCGCACAAATCTCGGCATCATGAGAGGCGTCCACGGTGGATAGAAACGAACCAACATTACAACGACACGCGTCACCTATACACCTGTCAGAAACGCCACCTTTTTCCAACACGCCAAATGCGTGCCGACACCTGCACTCATCATCTACCGCATATGGTGCCTCGTCAACCTTTTTCGCCAATCACGGCAACCCGCGTGTTGCTCACTGTATGGCCGGATCCGGCAATCATTGCCCGATCAGGTACTCTCCGACTACCGCGGCGACAAATGCGGCGCATTTCACGAGCGCTTCGGGTTTTTATGTTCATTTGGTGATTTCCACACTCTCATCCCCGCGCAGTATTGTAGTACAAAAAGCACCAAACCATGTCCACTAAACCCACACAAAACAAGCATCACAATACATTTAACACAACCGTCTACCTGCCTGCAAACACCGTATACTTAGGCGGAATTCTAGCAACCAAAAAACCCAAACACGGAACATAAATATCAAAAGCGCACACACAACCCCGATGATCCCACTCCAGGGCAGGTCTATGCCCTCCATCATCCCGGCCTCCCCCTCCCCGCTGCTCTACACGCCCCCGACTGACACCGACTGCACATCATTCCCGGCGCCGTCTCCGCCGCTAGCGCCAGCATTAGGCTTCATGTTCTCAAGACCACAGGCAGAAAGGCGGAGGCCATGGCGTCCCCAAATCCATTCTCCTTCTCGTCGTCGTACTCGGGATTGAAGTGACGGATGGCCTGTGAAACGGAGCCCTTCACAAGCACCTTGAGCCCGTTCACGACGTGGCCGTTCCCCCCGGCCGAGTTAGAGAGGCGGCCCATCCTCTGCTCCCAATACATGATGCTGTCGGACACCTGAAAGGAAATACACACCGCGCACGCCTTGTAAGACTACAGCCATATTCAAACTAACCACCAAAGTCATACAATGTCACTCACCACGTGCTTCAGCCACGCAAGGTGGTACACCTTCAAAGTGAGCGGCAGTGCAGCCTTCTTCGGAATGAAGGCAGCCTTTGCGCACGCCGCAAACGCGGCAGACGCAAAGGGCATCCCATCGCGGTCGTTTGACCAGTTGCTCAGCACCAGATCTGTCGTACACACCGCGGATAGAATGGTGGGGTTTAAAGACTAAAAGCACAAAAGCACACCTCACCACTGTCTAAAAGCACCAGAACACCGCTTACCGCTCTCCTCCGCACCGAGCCCAATGCGCTCCCGAATCTGCTCCAGCGTGCGTGCGTTGTCCCTTGCCCACGGGCTTGCCTCGTCGTGCTCATCACGGAAGAATCCAAGCTTAGGGAGCGCAATGTCCCGGACCTGTCCGGCTGCCCTTGTCTTCCACTCGCTCAGCGTCTTGTTAAGGTCAGCACGGCGGGACTTGTCCGCGGCAAGCGCAAGGCACGCGAAGCTATGCGGCAGGCGGTCAATCACTGCGCAAACGCCATAAGTCTTGTCGTCTGAGCTCGGATAGAAAGTCATGGTTGCGGCCGGCTTCTTCAAGAACAGCTGCACTTGGACCAGCTCGCATAGGCGCTGCACACAAGTCAGGTACCATGGGAAATTGTGAATGAGTCCAATGCTCCACAACAGTCCATCGCACGGCAGAAAGCGCACGCTCCGAAAGTAATGTTACACGATTGGTAGCACATCCCACCTTCCAAGCCTTGTCGGCCGGCAGCAGATCAAGTGTGCGCTGCAGAACAGGCGACTTCGCAGAGCGCATGTGCTTCTGACGCGTGCGAATCTGTGCCATGTCCTCGTAGTCGTCGTCTTCCTCCTCATCGTCATCCTCCTCAACGTCTGCCACTGCCTCGCCGCGACGCTGGCGCTTTGGGTTCATGCATCCCTGCCCGGGATCCCTCTGCCGCTCCGCCTTGCGCCGACGGGACCCCCCATCGGACTTCGCCAGCGCCTCCAAAAGCAGAGTTTCCAAGCGGGCCACCTTCTGCGCGCTCTCGTCCTGCGACTTAAGCAGGCTCCTGAATACTCCCACGGAAACGCGCACCTCCTCGCCATGCGTGTCCACAGCATCGTTCTCGCGGTACGCGTTGGTTTCGAACATCGTGCGCATCGCGTCACCCACATCCTCGTCATCCTCCTCTTCGGATGCGTTTATATTGCTCACGATGTGTGCCTGTTTGCCCCCTTCTACGTCCTCGCCTCGATTCCGGTTCGCCTGACGAGGAGCAGCGTCGCTATTGGAACGCGAATCGGGCGAGTCACTCACCAGCGCTTGTTTGCCGACCCTGCCGGGAGAAGCGTCCGATGTCTCACCCCCAGTATTATCTGTAGACGTGGGAATGTAGGCGGAGGAGACAGTTAAATCTGGGCAACACAAGCTCCAACGCGGAAGTATGGGGAAAGACAACACTTTCTTAATCAAAACGGCCACAAAACGCTAAAGCAGCGTCATACATTTCGTACAAATAGCACATCAAACCGTCATTACCGTCACAAATTCCATTTCCGCCAGCGTTCGCTCTGGTAATGGCCAAAAGCTTTGGCAAGGCCGGCACGCGAGTCCCCCTTGGCATGCGCCCCCGAGGAGTTGCAAGCTGATATGCCGCGCGCAGGTACGCCGGGGGCTGGGACACTCGCCGTGCACGCCCCGCGTTGCCAGTATCTTCAGAAGCAACGGAAGTCTCCATTGTTAACGACTGACATTGTTTGCGTGCACGGCACGCTAGCCTAAGTACTCGGATTGACCTTGCAAAGTATACGGTAACGCATAAACCATGCTCAACAACGTCCACAACCATCGAGCGAAACCGTTGCCGCCCATCAGGATAAACGCAACCACCGACATCCACTGGAAAACGACCTCCTCGATTTCTGTAATCTTGGTTAGCGAATACAATTCATCCACTGATCACCGTCAACTTTCATCCTACCACCCGTACTCTCGATACCATTTCCGAGTCCTGCTACAATAGTTCCTTCTCTTGCTAGCTATTTCATACCAATTAAACATTCAACAGAGGAAACACCACAGTATCAACCTATTAATGCCACACTTCATTTAAAGTACAAACCACACATGCGTACATGCATCCTCCAGGGAAGCCTTCTCTACCCCATGATCCACTATCATTTCCCACTGCTATCCCAAGCACCATCCTTCTGCCTCCCACGACCAGTTTCATCTGTCTTGTCCTCGAAGGACTTTGCCTCTGCACCGCGGGCCATCTTACGCGTCCTGCTGTTTTCTGCTTCGTGGGCAACGATTACGGTGTCCTCACTGCCAGCCTTCTCGCCTTCACCCTCCCCTGCCGTGCCCCCACTCTGATCACCACTCCCCTTGCGCGGTCTCCCCCTCTTTGCACGCGTTGCATTCTTCTTTGTGCGCGCTGCCTTCCGCATCAGACCTTCGTAAGTCTCCCTCCATACCCTCCAGCGCCACCACATGCGGGCATCCACCATGACTTTCAGGATTTCGGGAGTGCACCCCTTCAAAGCTGCCTTATCAGCCGGTGTCAAAGCCACAGAGTTCTGGGTGCCTTTACCAGGCCTCAGCACGTGGGCAGCTGCCGCGTAGCAATACGCTGCCTCCTCTATCGTGGTGTACGCCCGACTCTCTTCGTTATCTTCTTCCCCTCCTTGTCCTTTGCGACGATCTTCACCCCATACTTGCCTGTATCGGCCTCCACATAGACCCCTGTGTACTTGGTCGGCTTTGTTCCTGGCTCGTTCTCGCCCTCTCCATCTTCCTCCGAATCCTCTCCTCCCGCGAATGTCTCCTGCTTAGGTACAGCTATGAAGCCGGGGTGTGCGCCCGCACCGCTCTGCGCCATCCCGTACACCGGATAGGATGGCTGGACTAGTGAAACCGCAGCTGCCTGCTGCCGTGACAGCAGCCAGTGTGGAACCGTCCCGGGGATTGGCAGAGGTGCCGGGAAACAGGGGTACGCACCAACGGCCGACGCGAATTTGCTGTCGAGCGACACTCTCGTGTTCGAGCCCATCATATCCTCGTCTGGGCTGTCGTTCACCTGCTTCGTGTAGCCTGATGGCCGCATTGGAGTGTGCGGTCCGTGCTTGCGCCCATCCGTACCCCTCGATCCCTGCTCAGCGACGCCAGTTTGCTGCAGCATGTTTTCGCCTGCTGAGATCAACTGCTCCCTCGACATCCCAAGCACACTACCAATTGCGGCGAATCCTGCAGTCATCGCACCGACCTCGCGCTTTAACGAGCACACCTCCGCCTCGAGCTGGTCTATACGATGTTCTTCTTTCTCACGTCCTTCCGTCGCACCCTCCCTCAAAGTCGTGTTGGTGGTCAAGCCGCTTGGCTGAGAAGGAACATCCAAGCCATCCTCATCTAGCTTCCGGAGCAACTCTCCCATAGCGTGTGCGCATAAATCAGCGCGCATGATGCGGCGGTACTGCAGCGCGCTGACCCCCTTGAACCAGAGGCCACTCTTCACGTTGGCGAAGTCGGAGTAGACCAAAGTTTTCAAGTAGTGGCAAACAAAGACTCCACAGTCATGACCGTTCTCTTGCTTGGGGATGTGGTTCTCCTGCGTGCAAAGAAACCGCACACCTGGTGGTCAATTCTGACATTTGTATAACAACATCTGTCCACCAAAAAAACCAGGAAAGTCACACTTACGGTGAGGACATGGCAGGGAACGTCCTTCAGCAGCTGTTCAAATTTCGCCATGTCTACATGTGGATGAGTCGTCCTGGCCATGGTTGACAAGACCCTGCGGAACATCTCGGAGAACACAACCCGGTTACAGCCACGCATGTGCAAATAACAACTGTAGTACCACTACTAAAGCAAACACTTACACCTTCACGCCACTGAAAACCTTCTGTGTACTCATGGGGGCCCTGGAGCTGTCGAACAACACCATTTCCAGCGGCGGGCTATCCTTCCTTGACCTCTTATCCACCAGCCGGTGGGGTGATATGACTATCACCATTGAGTAGTGCTCTCTGCAGGGAGGCATGCGGTAGGAAAGGACGGTGTTTAGTCACGCGCATAAAGAATGCATGCACCTACGGCTCTTGTTGAACAAGTCAAGTGGCTCGATAATTACCCCCTGTAGACAGGGACCGCAAGGTAGTCATGCTCAAGGAGCGGCAGGCCGTTTCCAACATTGACTGCCGTGTTGTGAGCAGTGGTGTTTGCAAAAGTGTAACAATCGAGCGCCGCCCATGTCTTCCCGTTTGACAGCTTCGGAACACGGATGCTTAGAAGCCTGAAAGCACATGACGGACACGTGGGTGTTTTGCCGGAACAAGGGGCCATCAGATCATTTAACGAGCGAAGTCTAGGCGCCACATACACGACGCGCAGGTAGCGCGTCGGCAGCGTTACTCACACGTTGTGAAAGTCGACCACTCCGTCTATCAACCATGTGTTGTCGGCGATGGAGGCGAGGTCCTTCTTGTCGACTGTGCTGACCACGCCCCGATGATTCGTTAGCTCCATGTTGCGATATTCGACTTTGTAATAATTCTTCTCCAACGCCGCCACCAGATCGTCGGGCTGAGGGAGTTCAGCAGGTGCGCTTACGGTCGCGTCAACATCTTCCATAATCTCTTCCTCCACATCCTCCGCCGTCATATTTTGCTTTTTTCTGTTTGTGCTGGCGGTCCTTCCCATACGCGTGCGTGTCGCACCTACTTCTCTAACTTCGGCCTCCGAGTAATCGCTCGATTCTTGGTTCCGGCATAGTGCTTTTTTCGGAGGCATGGTCGGCGCGAGATTAGTTCACGGAAGGGATCTCTAAATCAGGTGTTCTATCTCCCGGACACGGTGGAAACAGTTCACTAAAACCGGTAGGGTTCCTGTGCGAGCGAATTCTCGTCATCGCTATAGTCTATGGCAAGAAGGCAGCAGAAGTAGTCACATCACCCCCCTACGGATGCCAGATCTACAGTTGGGTTACACGATGTTCGCGCATCACGTGACAGTTCACCGAGATGATGACACCTGTGCGCCACAGAATTCTCCAGAATAGCTGGATGGGTGCATATCAGTGCACCGTAACCAGCTTGACATGCAGGGAGGCTGCAAATAACAGGTGTGAGTGTACGAGGGTTGTTAGATCATGCATACTAAATTCGAGTTTGTGTTCAGCGCTATTTCGTATGCTATTCTGTTGAGCTGGCATCCTCCTATGTTTCTGACTGTGCAGACCGAAAATGTAACATCGTTGTACAATCGCGTACATTCGGTTCGGCACCTAAGCTATGAAGGAGGCACGTCCGAACACGGATTGCCTAGATACAGCTTTGGCCTAGGTGTAAACGATGGGCCAATTGGCAAGTTTAGGGCGGGTCAAACATTGTACATGTACGGAGTATTTCAGGTCAGTTACCAGAAGTACGTACGAAATCAGTTTGACGTACGAAATCAGTTTGACTCGAGACTGTACATAAATGAGCTCATTCCGGAAACGTGCACCGGGACGTGTGTAACACATCAGAAGGTTCGTCTCACAAATTGCTTCCCGTCAAAGTCGTCAAACAGTAACGCCTCATTTTCGCCAACACCATTTCGCCATGATATTATCCCTTGCACATTAGATGCGGAAACCTTCGCAACAGTTGGTAACGCCCTTTCCAGGTGATGTGCCTCGCAACGATCATGTACCTCGTCAAAAATCCGGACTGTACACTCCGTACTGGAAAGGAAACCTTAGTACTACGCCCTGTGGTGCAGTCAAATTTGACATGTGTGTCAGATTATAATGCATGTCTAGTCTGTAGTGGGGTACTCAAAAGTGAGTATAACCCTTTTAGGGCTTACTACTTGTATCCCCCTCCTTTCTAGTTTCACCATTCTCCTTCCACAATTCTCTCGACATTTTTCCTTACACCCTACACCCTCGAACTTCACCAAATCACCTAAGCTACTATGGCTCCTAAGCCAAACTCTCGCTAGTACTTTAACATGCTATCAGAGCTTAAAGCTCCTGGCCTGTGGGCCCACTTGCTTCCGCTGCCCTACTGTGTGTCGCGCGCCCCGTGGCGCCCGACATTCTATTTTTCTTCCCGCCACGCGCTCGGAACGCGTGGCGGTTTTCTGCCCGCCGTGCGCCCCGAGGCGCGCGGCGGGTTCCTACCTCGTTGCGGCGTCTTGGGGGCCCGCGCACTGGCCCCGACCGTCGCCTCGTCGCGGCGTTTTGGGGGCCCGCACGCAGGCCCCTCCCGTCGCCTCGTCGCGGCACTTTCGGGGCCCGCAAGCCGGCCCCTCCCGTTGCCTCGTCACGGCGCCTTAGGGGCCTGCGCGCGGTCCCCTCCCGTCGCCCGTCGAGGCACTTTCGGGGGCCTGCGCGGCCCCCTAGCACGTCGCCCGTCAGGGCACCCTGGGGGCCGCGCCCTTCCCCTCCCCTCCCTCCTAATTTCCGCTGCAGCAGCAGCCCCTGGAGCAGCCGCCCCAGCAGCAGCAGCACCTGGAGCAGCCGCCCCAGCAGCAGCAGCCCCTGGAGCAGCCGCCCCAGCAGCTGCAGCCCCTGGAGCAGCCGCCCCAGCAGCAGCAGCCCCTGGAGCAGCCGCCCCAGCAGCAGCCGCCCCAGCAGGAGCAGCCCCAGCAGCAGCAGCCCCTGGAGCAGCCGCCCCAGCAGCAGCAGCCCCTGGAGCAGCCACCCCAGCAGCAGCAGCCCCTGGAGCAGCCGCCCCAGCAGCAGCAGCCCCTGGAGCAGCCGCCCCAGCAGCAGCAGCCCCTGGAGCAGCCGCCCCAGCAGCAGCAGCCCCTGGAGCAGCCGCCCCAGCAGCAGCAGCCCCTGGAGCAGCCGCCCCAGCAGCAGCCGCCCCAGCAGGAGCAGCCCCAGCAGCAGCAGCCCCTGGAGCAGCCGCCCCAGCAGCAGCAGCCCCTGGAGCAGCCGCCCCAGCAGCAGCCGCCCCAGCAGGAGCAGCCCCAGCAGCAGCAGCCCCTGGAGCAGCCGCCCCAGCAGCAGCAGCCCCTGGAGCAGCCGCCCCAGCAGCAGCCCCTGGAGCAGCCGCCCCAGCAGCAGCAGCCCCTGGAGCAGCCGCCCCAGCAGCAGCAGCCCCTGGAGCAGCCGCCCCAGCAGCAGCCGCCCCTGGCCCCTGCAGCAGCCGCTCCTGGACCCGGTGCAGCCGTGGGGGGGTGGGTGTGGGGGTGTCGGTTGTGCGTGCCGTCCCCTCCTCCTCCTCCTCCTCCTTCGTCTCCCACTGCTGCAGCTATCGCTGAGGGTGGTGGATGTGTGGGAGTCTGGGGTTTAGGGTTTAAGGGGGTGCTGTGGGTGTAGGGCTAGGGTTTGAGCAGGGGGTGTGTGAGAGGGGCGTTGGGCAGCTGGGGGAGGTTAAGTGGAGGCAGCAGTCTTGTCGTCAGCAGCACCAGCAGTCCGGAGGCTACAATCTCCGGTAGTCGCCAGTCGCCTGTGGGTCAGTTGCTCGTCTGCCGCTACTTTTAGCCGCGGAGCCAGTTACTCCTGTAGTCCGGGCCTTTGCTTCGGTAGCCACTGAGCCAGCAGCTCGTCTGTGTGTCTGCAGCGTCAGCAGTCGCCTCCCATCTTCTCTCCCCCACAGTCTCTCCTCCTCCTCACTTGCCCTCTGTGATTAGCTCTAGCCTTACTTACCTATTGTGAACTCTAGCTCTATGCCTGCATGCTGTACTGATTATACCCCACTTTGACTATGGGGGTGTGTCAGATTATAATGCATGTCTAGTCTGTAGTGGGGTACTCAAAAGTGAGTATAACCCTTTTAGGGCTTACTACTTGTATCCCCCTTCTTTCTAGTTTCACCATTCTCCTTCCACAATTCTCTCGACATTTTTCCTTACACCCTACACCCTCGAACTTCACCAAATCACCTAAGCTACTATGGCTCCTAAGCCAAACTCTCGCTAGTACTTTAACAATGTGTGTTGACGTAAAAATAACGACAACATTGGGAGTGTGCAAAGTTGGACCCGCCCTTAGCAGTAACCAAAATATGCCGCATGGGAAAGCATTTGTTGACGCGTACTCTACCGAGTACGAGCACATATACGCGGCATGTACAGGCGCATTTCTCCTAGTAATGCTGACAGCGGATGCCTCTTTGTGAACGGTAGTAATAGTGGGTTGATCATGGTTGTTTATGTTTACAAGCGAATGTATGAGAGAACATTCATTTGGATATGCATGAGTTATGAATGCAGCGTTGGTGTGATTTTTACGGTCGTTGCGTTACTTTTTCTTATTGCTTAGTGTATTGTATCATTAGAACATCAGGGTGTAGTCCTTACTAGTGGTCCTATTTGTGCAATCGAAACACACACTCTTGAAAGGTTGACGCTCACGCTCGATGAGGTTATGAAAACAGCCTACCTAACCGTTTGTTGGTGGTCGGATTAGGGTTCGTAGTTAGAGCGAGATGACGGGAAACAAGTGCGGCGTATGCAGTAAGGATTTTCCCAGTGACCGTGATTTACAGTCTCATCTTTCAGATAGAACTAAGTGCGGGGACACGCTGAAGAGAAATGTCTAGCATCTTATATTTGATGCTTACCTAGAAGCGCTAAATAGTGTTGGGCACAAACGACACTGCAGCCCTGCGACTTCTGGGGCCAAAACCCGTGGGGTACCTACAGCGGAGCCGCCAGATGTCGCTCCGCCGCAGGCGTCGCAGGCCGAACATGAAGGGGATGATGGCGACGATGGCGACTCTTCTTGTTCGGAGGCTAGCGACGTCTCCGACTTCTTCGACACCCTCACGGAGCTGTACCTTTTTTTCCGGGACGCAGACTTATCACGCCGAGAAGTCAACAGACTTCTTAACATATTCCATAACCCGTAGTTCAGTTTGAAGGAATTATGTAGGTGGCGCAACTACGCTGACGTGAAGCGATGGGGGAAAGAGCGTGCGCCGCCAGATATGGTTCCATGGAAAACGGAGCATATCGTCGTACACGGGCCCAGAGGAATGTCTCAAAAGCGTCTCTTGCACTTCCGTGACACAGAGTTGGTGAGCTTGCCGTCAAATGCGTAATGCATATATTCCGCTAAAGCGTTAACTGAGGGCATGAAACGTGTCTATCTAGACTTCTTCGACCGTTGGTAGTCATGGGCCTTTTCTGGTGCGCAGCTTGTGAAGAAGCTTGTCCGCATCTTTTCGCGGAGGAAGGGTTTCGTGTGGAAGCCAGAGGAGAAGTACAACGAGCAGAGGAAGCGCGTTTTCGAGGGGCCGGAAACAGGCACTTGGATGCACGAGGCGCAGGTACGTTGCCATGCTGCAAGAGTCGTGTCCGATGGAGGGCGTGCTCCTTAATGTCCCACTCCGGTTTGTGTGTGTGGCAGAAAGAGATCAAGGACGACAATGCTCTGATTCTCGGGGTCATCGTGTACAGCGACAGCACGCAGGCGTCGCGCAACGGGCGGAGGAATGCGTGGCCTGTCCGGATTTCGCTCATTAACATACCTGAGGAACTGAGGTGGTTTGAGCCGGGCCACACTCTTGCTGCGGTGCTGCCCTTCTGCCCGGAATGGGCTAGCCCGACAGAGAAGGCCCGTGTTTTTTAGGAGGCGCTGAAGATCATACTTGGACCCTTGATGCGGGAAACCGCAAGGTACGTTTGGCGTCAGTGTGTATAATCGTTGCAAGTGATGTATTCGAGGACCGTCAACTTTGGAAACTCCTTTCTGTATCCAGTGCTCCCCTGAGGTACTTTTATGTGACAGACGCTGCGGGCAAAGTGGTCAAGGCGGTACCTTGCCTCTATGGATACCCTGGAGACTATCCTGAGAACAGTAGGGCTTCAGCAACGCTGCAGACGGGCACACATCGCCCGTGCGCTAACTGCTATGCCGAAGTTGGAGACCTGACACGGCTGACAGCCAAACAGGATCCCCGCACATCGGAGAGGCAGAAGGACATAGTGCGGCAGTTTTTTGCGTTTGCCAAAAAGGAGGACGCCCGTAAATTCCAGCCGCAGTGGTCAACCCATCCAATAGAGGTAAGCTACAGCTTGCCATTGTGTCGTGGAAACATTCATTTGAGTTGTGACGAGCCGCAACATATGTGTTCGCGACATGTTTCCTTTTGGGCGCAGTGCGTGCTGGTGCGGTGGAACTTTGGGGACACCACCTGGGGGGACGTGTACCTCGCATGTCTGGCTGACATCTTATACGTGTTGGACTCTGGTGTCTTCGTACACATGATGGACGAGTACCTCTCCCCCCTGGGGAAAGTCGAGATCCGCATCCTGGAGAGGTGAGGCGTGTAGAAACCAGGGGTCCTCTGTCGTTGTGGACAGAGCGACGTTTGTTGCCAAGAAGTATTGTCTTTGTGTTTGGGCTGATGCGATTGTGGCCCGTTGGTCCACATTGCGTGGCAGGAGGAAGAAAGATTTGAAAAGCGACACGCCAAGTGTGCTACTAAGGATTCCGGGCGGATCGTCCTTCTTCCTTTCTGGCGCCCACTATGCGGCGTTCGAGCATCGCGCCATGATGCAAATCATGCCGATCATCATAGCGGACTCCAGTGCCTTGAAGAGGGGAAAGGCGGGAGAGTTAAGGGCGTTGCAGGTCAGAGCTTTCCGGTTTTACGCCATGTTCTACAAGTCGTTTTTGGGAGTGGCGGCGCACACCCGCGATACGTTGAAAGCGGCGAGGCAACATGCCGTTGCGTAAGTTTGGTGGTTGGACACAGGTGTTGTTGGCAATCTTTGTGCAGTTTGTACCGTGTGCACTGCAGTCTGGTGTCAGAACCTATGCGCTAAACCACAGTTTGAATTGCAGGTTGATGGAGCTGCTTCCCGTCGCTTTCCCGGACCAGGCGTCAAAGTGGGAAATTCCCAAGATCCACATGATAAAGCATCTTCTCGAGAACGTGGAAGCAAGGGGGATGCCACACCACTACAGCACGGAGATGTGGGAGCGAACACACAAGGGGACAGTGAAGGGTCCCGTGAGGGGGAGCAACTGGGCCGACATTTCTCGGAGAATTGTGGATGAGGAGATGCAGCGTGAGATCTACAGAGAAGTGGCGGCAGATGCGGGAGGAGGTCGGCAGTATGTATCAGCGCTGCGTGTGGTGAGCGATAGGTTGCTAGCTGGACCAGGGGAAGAGCGCAGGGCGATGAACGACCTGATTTCGGTGTGCGGTTTTTATGCATTCTGATGCAATACATGCTGCCTTGCGGGTGGTTGCGTGTGGCAGGCCGTGGAAGAGCTAGCGCCTGTGCTGACGAAGAAGTACAGGATCATGCGCCTCGGATGCAGCGGGGACAGTGTGTTTGCAGAGTACGCAGCAGTACACGGGGATCAGATGGAGGGCCTACTTGGTCAGCTGAGGCAGATGCAGATGGCGTGTGACAGTGTGCAGGTAATTGAGCGTATGGTGAGCAGAATTGCAGCCGTGGTATGCGGAATGTGTGTCACTGCCTGACAGTTCTTCAATTGTATGTGGTGCTTGCCTTCGCTTGCAGATACACACAGCAGTGGCCATACCACGAACACAGGGGGGTGTGCTGGTGGCGAAGGGGACGTTCGTAAAGGCATCCCCGCGAGAGAAGGTGTTCTCAGATGTGGCACTGTTGGCTCGGGGAGGCGGAGATTGGTTCGCTAGATGCCTGTGTGTTTTCAAGGCGTTGAACGCGGAGGGCAAGTGGATTGGGTGTGCGTACGTGAGGTACTACGAAGCAGCCGGGCAGTGTCCCATCACAACGTGTACCCAGTTGTATCCAGCTCGTCAGAATGTGCGGTTCGCAGTGGTGCTGTTGAAGAGCCTCCAGGGTTGTACACGTATGCCCTTCTTACAGCAACCCACGTGTGCTGCTGGTGAACAAGTTTCTACTCTGCGAGTAATAGGAGTAGGGGCTTTTATCTGGAAATGTGGGATGGGTTTTGGTTAGAATAACAGTAGGGGGGAGGCGTGGGGTACTGACGTTGAGGGGTGGAGGCGTAGGAGGTAACGGAACTCGAGTGTGGAACAGAACAGGCGGACGGTCTCGTGCTTTGCCTTGTTGTGCATGTTTTGTGGGATTGTGGGAATGTTGTCATGGTTGGCATACAGGTAATTTTGGGGGCGGTGTTGGGTTTATGATAATGGCTGTAAGGGATTATGTTAGCACGGTGTTTTATTCTGGTTGACGGTTTGCCGAGTTCATGTTGGTTTTGTAATGCAGGTACACGGTGGTTACGGAATCATATACGATATGTGGCAGGGGCTATTGGTTCGACGTTCGGATTTCAAGTGTTTGTGACTGGCAGCTGCGACCTGTGTGACGTGAACGACATCCGAGAATGCAATTTTTGGCCAATGGAAACTGTGCACATGTGCACCTGGCAAGCAATGGTCAGAGAGCATTTTGGGGCGATTCTGTGTTTGTGGCTGTGTGGAGCCGATACAAGGTAGCACAGCTACTGGCGAAGCGTACGGTTTCGGAATGAGGTGGCCTATTTTGGGGAGGTTCGTCATTTCATCTCCACCTACCCACCCGGCGTTGTATGCTGGTGGCCAGTATGAGCTCGGTGAAGCCCCCCTTGAATGACATCATCCAGAAGTTGAAAGTGCACCCCGACGATGTGTTTTTGTTTGTGGAGATACCGTTTTTGCCGAGCCGTTTGCCTAAGACCAAAATTCCAGGAAGGACCGGAACCCCATGCGACCAGATCATAAGTGTGGGCTTCCTATACAATGCGACGGGAACCTGCAGCACGGTGCCCCTTGTGGTTTTGCGCCATGACGAGCGCCCAGAAACTAGGCGCAGCGGGGAGCCCGCACCGGCGGTGATTGTGCGCTACACGAAGAGTGGTCGGCTCACACCCGAGGTATGTTGGATGTTTTTGAGAGTGGACGGTTCCGCTGATTTCCCGAATGCAGTAGTGGCATGTTGGTGGTGTTGTTGTACGAAACCTTAACTCGGCGCATGAGCTGTCTTGGCTTGGCGTTGCGCAGGTGTTCACCGAGTTCTTTCAGACGGTCGACGGTGTGCAGCTAAGCCGTGAACGGAAGACGGTTGTGTTCACCTACAACACCGCGCACCGCATTACCGCGAATGACGCGAAGACGACGGTGGAGCACGGTTTGACGGTGGTGCATTTCACGCACACGTGCTTTGTCGACTTCACAGACATTGTGCAGTGGTCCAGCATGCCGTTTTTGCACGGCGTGGTGGACGCTTTCAAGGTGGAGTATCGTGTTATCCTGATGAGACGAGCGGTGCGATCGAATCTCTTCCACGAGGATTTCGATGCGCCCTTTTCCGTGGTGAATTACGCGGTCATGCTGCTGTGGATGGGCTTGGCCTGGAAGGCGCTGACGGCGGCTACGATGCAAAGGAGCTGGTGGAGGGCGGGATGCGTCCCGGAGTCATGGTGGCCGCTGATGTGGCACCTGCACGGCATGTATTCGGCAGGCATGTACGAGCCGCTTGTCTCTACCACGGCGGACCTCCTGGTGCTGCTACGTGAGTTCCGTGTGCGTCCAGCGTTGTATATGCCGGCGTCCGACTACGTGACCTGCGATGAGTGGTTAATGGAGCAGGCAGGAGTGAAGTTGGTGACGCCCTCTACGCCCACGTCTTCAGGGGACGAGGGTGAAATGTGCCTTCCGGATGGGCCTCTGATGCGAGACGAACGAAGCCGTCGGCGTGCCATCCGCAACGTGACGCACGCGTACGTGTGTCACGCTGAGGCGCTGGGGATTGCCCCAGCGGAAGTGGCGCCTGTTGTTGGCGCCTCTAATGGAGAGGTGGTGAGCCGCCTAAACCGCACACCGAAGAAGCGTGCGCGCAGTTCTGGGTCGTCCGACAGTGCATCCGTGTAGTGCGCTAGGCCGTGATGTTGTTGTTGGCGGGGGGGGGGGGGGGGTAGGGGGGTTGTAGGGTGGGCGTGGTTTGTAGATGTGGTTGCGGGCTGACGGTAGAGTATGGCTTTGTGTGTTGTTGTGCTTTGTAAGTCTGAACGCGGAGATTTTTGCAAATGGCACATTTTAACAATGGGAAGTAGCCGGTTTGCAGAGGCATATCGTTGGTTGCGTATGTTGGTTACGGTTTTCGGAATAAGTGTGTAGATAGGCTTGACGCGGAAACTGTAGCGGGATTTGTGCGGCACGCTAATACCGAGTATTGTGAACGCTCTGGGCCCGAGCCGCATGTGTTCGAGGCGCCTTCGTAGAGGCGGTGCGGATAATGGCGCAGGTGACGGCAAAGTCACAGTTTGGTGGCGGTAATGTTGTGGTCGAGTGTGCGGTTATTGATGGTGGGGATGTTGCGTTTTACGGCCCTTGTTTTTTTGACACATGTCGCAACAAGCACGCAAGGCCCACGCAGAAAAACCTTCGGCCACCCAAAAACGCAATTTCCCTTTTCCGCGATGTACCTTAGCCCCATTGCAACTAATCTATTGGACAGAATGGATGCTGCATCACCGATAGGACGGCTGTCAGGCGATCTTCTCTCCGTTATCTTTCATTTAGTCGGTCAATCCGACGGCCAGTTCCAGCACGCGCTTGTGTGCAAGGAATGGCTTAGAATCACCCATTGCGTGCACGACCATCCAGATTCGCGAAGAGCGTCGCATGCGTCCTCATGAGCTGCTCGAGCTCCTCTCGTCATTCCCAAGGCTCCGGAAGCTCGTCCTCGCCAACGGCAGCATCACGTCCGACCCTGACTCCCTCCTCTCGGGGATTTCTGACACGTGTTCAGATCTGACGGACCTCCACGTCGATACGATGAAACGACGGAACGTACGCGGGGGGTTCACTGAGAACGGTCTTTCGTATCTTTTTAAGAAATGCACACGGCTGGAGGGACTTCGTCTTGATTGTCAGTCGAATCTGACCGCCATTCCCTCTTCCATCGGCGGCCTTGCGTCACTCAAGAGCCTTCACATCACCGACAGGGGGGGAATCGCCCTCCTTCCAGACGCGTTCACCTCGTTGCATTCACTCACGCATCTCAGGATTGAAATGTACGGCCTGGAAGAACTGCCTCAGGGCTTCGGCAATCTGAGGCGGCTCAAGTCCCTTCATCTCAACGACTGCATGCGGCTCAGCTCCATTCCCGATTCTTTCGGGCAGCTAACCAACTTGACACATCTTTCCATCAGCGGTTCCAGGACAAGGCTTCAGCTGCCCGAATCTATCTCGAACCTCTCGTCCCTGCTGACGCTCGAAATTTCCAGCTGCTCAGACCTTTCACCGCTGCCCGAGAGTTTTGGAAACATGCCGGCGCTTGAAACCCTACGTTTGGAGGAGGTGGGGGGGATTACCGACCTGCCCGCCAGTCTCGGGCAGCTGCAGCGGCTGCGGCTCCTTTCAGTTACCTACTGCGACGATTTAAGATCACTCCCTACCTCCCTTTCCTGCCTGCCTTCCCTGACGGACCTTATTCTCGCTGGCCTAACCCTCCACCATCTGCCGGACGACGTCGGTTTCCTGCCACACCTACGCACGCTCGAGCTAGACGTCAAAACTCTCGCGCATCTGCCTCACTCTATAACCCTTGCCACTGCACTCAAGAAACTCACGCTGCAAAACTTCAGAGCTCTTCAATCGCTACCCGAGGATTTCGGGCAGCTGACTGTCCTGGAAACCCTGCGCTTAGTTAAGCTCCCGCAGCTTAGCAGCCTGCCTGCATCGCTTGGTAACTTGACGAGCCTCAAAGAGCTGAAAATAGCCGAGTGCAGCCTGCTGACGCAGCTTCCGGACTCCCTGAGTCAGCTATCTTCCCTCGAGCTACTGCAAATCAATGACTGCTGCAAGCTGAGATCGCTACCGCACGGCATGGGGGATGGCCTGCATAGCCTGCGCAGACTGTATCTACTCGACTGCACGGCTCTCGCCCACCTCCCTCCATCCTTCTCCAGCCTCGTGTCCCTGCGAATCCTAGCAATCTGTGAAGCAACCAGCTTACGAGGCACGCTACCAGGCAGGCTGTCCCACTTGACAAGCCTCAAAGAGCTCTCTCTCTCCTCCCTGAATGCCTCCCTCCCTGCCTTCGCCCGCACTCTCACCAGACTCGTGGTCGTCAGGTCCTCGCGAATCAAGGCGCTGCCAGAGGAGATCGGACGGCTGGGAGAGCTTGTTACACTCAAGCTCTTACAACTACCCAACCTGAAGTCGCTCCCTCGCTCGCTGTATCAGCTGCCGCGGTTGAAATATCTGCAAGTGAGTTCCTGCAGCGCATTGGAGTCGCTGTTTGGGGATGAAGACCAGGGGGGTGCACGCACGGGGGACGCACGCGCGGGAGCCGCTGGGCAAGAGCGTGGGGGAAGAATCGCTCGTCTGGGGCTAGCTGGTCACACGGGTAGCAGCAGAGCCGCTGGCAGCTGTGGGGGGTCCGGGGAGAGTGGTACGAGTGTGTTGCTGCCATCCCTGGAGGTCCTTGAGCTTGCAGAGCTTCCCCTGCAGCACCTCGGTGCATGGCTGGGCTGCTTCCCATCGCTAACAAGCCTGCAAATCCGCAACATGGATCGCCTCCAATCGCTGCCACACTCCATCTCTCGCCTCTCTCGCTTGCAGTCACTCGCGATCATGCATGCCAAAAGCCTGCTAGCTCTACCGAAGACTATAGGGAAGCTCTCAGTACTCACATCCCTCTATCTGAGCGGTCTCATGGGCTTGACTGAGCTGCCCGAATCATTTGGGCAGCTGAAGAAGCTTCAGTCTCTTCAGATTCACAACAGCCCGGGTCTAACGAGGCTTCCCGGGTCCTTCCCTGGCCTCTGCGGACTGCAGCGGTGTGCTTTGTCCATTGTCGGAATCTCGAGCTTTCCTCATGACTTCTGGAAGCTCTCTTCTCTCGTGGACCTCTTTTTGACGTTCCTGCCCAATCTCCGAAGCCTGCCCAATAAATTTTCGCAGCTGCCCGGTTTGGAGAACTTGGACCTGTACGGATGCAATCGGCTGGCCCGGTTACCCAGAGGGCTTTAGCAGATGGGGAAGCTGCAGACATGCAGGGTGAGTGATTGCCCAGTGGTGGGGGATGAATGGAGGATGGTGGTTTACCACCTGGCCGAGGGAGAGCGTGCTGTGGGTGCCTCGGTGGGAGCGGATGATCTGGTGCCAGGGGATGGGGAGGATGAGGATGAGGAAGGGAATGGGGAGGACGAGGATGGGGAGGAAGAGGATGGGAGAAAGAGGATGGAGAGGAAGAGGATGGGGTGGATGATGGGAGAAAGAGGATTGGGAGGAAGAGGATGGGGGGGAAGAGGATGGGGAGGAAGAGGATGGGAGGAAGAGGATGGGGAGGAAGAGGATGGGAGAAAGAGGATGGGGGGAAAGAGGACGGGGAGGAAGAGGATGGGGAGGAAGAGGACGGGGAGGAAGAGGACGGGGAGGATGAGGATGGGGAGAATGAGGAGGGGGAAACAGGATGGGGAGGAAGAGTATGGGGAGGAAGAGGATGGGGAGGAAGAGGATGTGGAGGAAGAGTATGGGGAGGAAGAGGATGTGGAGGAAGAGGATGAGGAGGAATTGGGGACAGAGGAGGAGGATGAGTGGAGTGAAGGGGAGGAAGGAGAGGGAAGCGAAGGGGAGAGGAGTGAAGGGTAGGGGGGTCGGGGAAAAGGGAGAGGAGGTGAAGTGAGCTGGAGATGAGATGAGGAAGAGGAAGAGGAAGGCAGGGATGGGGAGGTGAGAGGGGGATAGTGAGGAGGTGGAAGAGGAGGATCTAAAGGAGGAATAGGGAGGGGGGACTTGAGTTGGTGGAGGGAGTGGGGGGTCAAGCAGAGAGAGGTGAAGAGTATATTTGTATGCAGTCACATCACAGTCAATATCTTGTGATGGCTATGATATACTGTGTACTCCTTGTTTGCAGGACACATGCTATCAGGCTTCTTTGTACTGATATGGTATAGCGTTATTCACACTTAACTTCACACAACACAAAATGTACAAGTACCAACATTACTCACTAGCTGCCACCAATGCCGTCACTCGTGTTAGGCAGTTGTATGCATCCTGCCATGCCACCTGTCACACACCCCCACCCATGTGTTCCTACAGCTGCAAATCAACTTGTCATCATCTCATTCCATGGGATTACCACAATACAGTGCGAAATGCAAGTGAGCGCCCTTGCTCTGGCAATCCCAGTGGGCCTGACTGCACTGATCATGTGTTCAACACATGCAATGCTTTCATGCTAGTCACCACTGATTGGTCCATGCAAAGCTACCCTAGCGAACCCATCAGTATATACTGAGTACACTGTGGTTATGCCACTGAGTTCCCCTCTACACCCTCTGCCCCAGGGCTATTATTTTCCACTGCTGCACTGCAACCCACTAACTTCCCTATTCCGCCCTAACCTTCTAGCAAATGCCTCCACATGCACCATCATCCGCCCCTCCACCATCATCCGCCCCTCCACCATCATCCGCCTCTCCACCATCATCCGCCCCTCCACCATCATCCGCCCCTCCACCATCATCCGCCCCTCCACCATCATCCGCCCCTCCACCATCATCCGCCCCTCCACCATCATCCGCCCCTCCACCATCATCCGCCCCTCCACCATCATGTTCCACTCCACCTCTCAGAGTTGCTCCTGAGGCACCTTCATCTGCGCCGCCCTCTGCTACGCTCCTCAACTGTCACTGCATCACTGCATCGTTGCGACAGCTGCGCCTCCATCCCTCAGTGCAGCTCAGTGCAGGCTAATCTTTAGAGCACGCAACTCGTGAGCGCAGTCAGCTTCACTGCCAGCGTGTGAGCTCCTCCACCTTGCTGCACAGCTCCTCACCCTCTGGAGGCTCCTCAAGGGCCACCAGCACAACCACCATCACCGCCACCACGAATCCGCGTTCTAGTTTTCAGAGCAGGTGAGAGCAGGTGAGAGCAGGTCAGTGCAGGCGGGTGAGCTCCTCCACCTTCTTGCAGAGCTCCTCCAGCGGCACCTTCATCTGTTCCGCCACCTCGGCCATGCGCTCCCTCTTGAGGTCCAGGAACGCCTCCACCAGGTCGCCATCGATGAAGGCCTTGCTCTCCACCGTCTTGCGCTCGTTGTGGAAGCTGCGCCACTCCGCGTGTGACAGCCCGCCCACTCCCTTTATCACCTTCGTCAGGCACACCTGCGGGCGCAGCGCGGGGGAAGTGGGGGGGGACGAGAACAGGTGCTCCAACGATGCAGGTGAGCATGATGCTTCGAGACACCTTCAACTAGTTCCTGTGAGGCCACCCCGAGGGATAAGAAGACACGAGCCAGGCCGAGAAAACAGGTGAGCGGGAGAAGGGAACACACCTGAAGACGGTGCAGGAAAGAGAAGAGGTCCTGCGGCAGCGAGGCGACCACTCCAATGGTCTTTGAGGTGCCTCAAAAACGAGTGAGGGACACCCGCACACGCACACGCACCCACCCACCCACCCAGCAACACACGCACCTGCAGGCGGTGCAGGAAGGAGAAGAGGTCACCTGCAGGCGGTGCAAGAAGGAGAAGAGGTCCTGCGGCAGCGAGGCAACGACCCCGATGGCACCGCTGACAGTGCCGAAGAGCAGCGTGGGGATGTTGGCCGTCTCCGAGTCTGGTAACCGCATCACCAGCGACCCGTGGCGGAAGCGGTTCACAAACTCGCCCACGTGGTACTCGCCCACCACCTGCAGTGGGCGGCAGGGGGGTTAGTTGTGGAGTAGGTTTGTGTATGGGGAGGCTCAGACATGAGTTGCTGAGTTGTTTTGTTGCAACCACGTTCAATGTACCACCAGGGGTACTCCCCTCAGGCTCTAGTCACGGCATCACGAGCCACCCGTGGCGGAAGCAATTCACGTGCTCTCCCAAGCGGCACTCGCCCACCCCCTCCAGGGGCGGGCGGGCGTTGGAGGGTGTTGGTTGTGTTGTGAGTGGATAGGCATTGACTTGCTCCACCACAGAGATGGCGACACAGTCACTCATTTCCTGAGTTGTTTGAACCAGACTGAAAGCACCCCCAGGGACCACGGGTAGAAAAACGCGAGGGAGAGCCAGAGGATGGTTTGAAGCCCAGCCGCGCACCTCCAGGCGGCCGCGCTCCTCGTCGGTGGGCGCGTCGCCGTTCTTGCGCAGGGTGAAGAGGTTGAAGCTGTTCTCCGCGCCGATGTACACGTCGTCGTCCACCACCTCCACCGCCGTCATCCAGTTGGCGTTGAAATCCCGCGCCCTCAGCTCCAACGCCCCCTCCTCTTGCTGCCACGTGGGTGCCGCAGAAAAGCAGTTGGGGAAGGAGGGGAGAGAGAATACATATTATTCACCACACCAGGCGAGAGTGAGCAGTGGGGAGTAAGATGGACAGAGAAGGCACACATAATCCTGACAGCTGTCATCCAGTTGGAAATGGGCAGTGGATATTAAGCAAGGAGTGAGTGTTGCTGGAGCGGGGCATGGTGCGAGAGCAGAGGGCAGAACAGGGATTGATCAGCTACTCACACTCCATGCACACTTCAAGTCGAGCACGCACCTACGCTACGCACCCACCCACCCACCCACCCACCCACCCACCCACCCACCCACCTTGTAGACGAGCAGCGACATGCTCTTCATGAGGTCGCCAACAACGATAAAGTCCCCCCGGCACGCGGTGTAGAGCGCCAGGATGTGCCCGAAGTGCCCACACTCCACCAGCAGCTCCCTGCCGCCGTCGTCCCGCGCCGCCCACCGGAAGAGCTGCACCTTGTTGTTGATGCCCGCCAGCACCTTGCCGTTGAACGCGTTCAGCGTGTACACCGCGCCCTTGGTCTCCTTCTCCGCCACCACCTGTAGCTTGCCGCCCTCCACTGCCAGCACCAGGATGCGACCCTGCACGGCATTCCATTGCAGCACACAGTTAGAGAGAGGCAGCGGCAGCACTGTGGACTGTCCTGAGAGACGCATGCACGCTCTGTGGGGACCCAACAGCAATCCAGCAGCAGCTCTAGGATGGGGGAATTGGACGGGAAAGGTGGGCCGGGGGAGATGAGAGTGGAGAAACGGACAGCGAGGAAGAGATAGGAGCTGGAGACACCTCGATCGTGCTGCGTTGCCTCCTCATTCATTTTTCGCCTCATTCATTAGAGACTATTTCGCACAACCGAAGCGGTGAGGCGTGAGCATGGGATGGGGCGAGGGTTGGTCCTTCACTCGCACCGACATCCCTTTGGTGGGTTCTTGCTCGTCGGGACATGCAAGGCGGTGCATCAGAGAGTGGTGAGAGCATTGCTGATGATATCTCCACTCGAGACGGAAAACAAGGCAGAAACCGGAGAATCACTCCTACTGGTTGCACCTTGGTGGGTTCCTGCTCGTCGGGGAAGGCAAAGGCGGTGCCGACCACGATGTAGGCGGTGGGGTCGTCAGCGAAGCAGCAGGAGATGATGGAGCACCCGTTCTCAAACGGCTCCAACGGTAGGTGCGACAGCTGCTCGAACGTCTGGTCGCTCAAGAGGCGCACGTAGTGGCTCTCCGCCTCCTCGCCGTTCACCTGGGCGCACGGGCACGGGGAGAGTGCGCACGGTGCAGAGGTGAATGAGAGAGAGAGATCTGGGCGACTGTGGTGTGAGTGGGGGAAGACAGCTAACGACAGGTGGGAGAGGTGGTCAAGCGTGTGCACGCTCAGCAGGCGCATCTGGTGACTCTCCGCCTCGTCTCCGTTCACCTGGAGAGCGGGCGTGCAGCGAGCGAGCGAGTTAGAGGTGAGAGAGAGAGATATGGGTGATTGTGGTGTCACTGGGGAAGGCACATGGTGACAAGGGGGCTGCAGAGGCAGGTGGGACAGAGGCAGGTGGGACAGAGGCAGGTGGGACAGGTGGTTGAACTTGTGGGCGCTCAGCAGGAGCATCACGGTGACTCCGCGCGTCGTGCCCGTGTGGCTGCTGAGCGACCTGACGAGGGGGGATGGGGAGAGGGATGGGGCGGTGAGCGACCACACCAGTGTGAACCATGTGTCACAGCATTCACTCGTAACGTAAAAACGGAAACACGGGGTGAGCAGCGGAGTGCGACGCACCAGGCTGACTTTAATGGTGGTGACGGCGATGGAGTGCGACTGCTCGTGGTGGCAAATGCGGCGCGGCTGCTCCCTGAGAGGCACCGTGCGGATGTGCAGCTTCTGAATGTCGTCGATGCTGCCGATCGTCAGGTCTCCTTCCTTCGCTAGTGCCAGGCTGCGAGGGCAGGTGGGTGGCAGGGGACACGTGGAGAGAGGTGGCAGCGCGTATGGATGTGCTGTATCCTGCAGGTAATGCGCACGCATGCCACTCAAGTCGCTTTCAAGGAGGTCTCACAAGCTGCTCCCCGAGAGGCACTGCACAGCTGTGCGGCTTCTGAAAGGAGTCGTTGCTGCCCATGGTAAGGCCTCCTCCCTTTGCCAGTGGTAGGTTGTGTAGTTGAATCCAATGTGAGGTGGGGAGAGGGGAGGTGGCAGAGCGTATGATGTGAGAGGTCATGTGTGCGGATGATGTGAGAGGTCATGTGTGCGGATGATGTGGGAGGTCATGTGCGCGGATGATGTGAGAGGTCATGTGCGCGGATGATGTGAGAGGTCATGTGTGCGGATGATGTGAGAGGTCATGTGCGCGGATGATGTGAGAGGTCATGTGCGCGGATGATGTGAGAGGTCATGTGTGCGGATGATGTGAGAGGTCATGTGCGCGGATGATGTGAGAGGTCATGTGCGCGGATGATGTGAGAGGTCATGTGCGCGGATGCTGTGAGAGGTCATGTGCGCGGATGATGTGAGAGGTCATGTGCGCGGATGATGTGAGAGGTCATGTGCGCGGATGATGTGAGAGGTCATGTGCGCGGATGATGTGAGAGGTCATGTGCGCGGATGATGTGAGAGGTCATGTGCGCGGATGATGTGAGAGGTCATGTGCGCGGATGATGTGAGAGGTCATGTGTGCGGATGATGTGAGAGGTCATGTGCGCGGATGATGTGAGAGGTCATGTGTGCGGATGATGTGAGAGGTCATGTGCGCGGATGATGTGAGAGGTCATGTGCGCGGATGATGTGAGAGGTCATGTGCGCGGATGATGTGAGAGGTCATGTGCGCGGATGATGTGAGAGGTCATGTGCGCGGATGATGTGAGAGGTCATGTGCGCGGATGATGTGAGAGGTCATGTGCGCGGATGATGTGAGAGGTCATGTGCACGGATGATGTGAGAGGTCATGTGCGCGGATGATGTGAGAGGTCATGTGCGCGGATGATGTGAGAGGTCATGTGCGCGGATGATGTGAGAGGTCATGTGCGCGGATGATGTGAGAGGTCATGTGCGCGGATGATGTGAGAGGTCATGTGCGCGGATGATGTGAGAGGTCATGTGCGCGGATGATGTGGGAGGTCATGTGCGCGGATGATGTGAGAGGTCATGTGCGCGGATGATGTGAGAGGTCATGTGCGCAGATGATGTGAGAGGTCATGTGCGTGCCTCTAGCCTCTAGGGGTGCTCATGGTCAGGCCTCCCTCCCAGGCTAGTGCTTGACTGCCCGACAGAAAAAGCAAGGGTGCGAGAGACTTGTGTTGGAGATAACAAACCAGAACGAACCATGATAGCGACGCGAGAGAGAAAGCAGCGCATAGAGTGAGGGAGAGAGCGGCAAAGT